TTTCCTAGGAAAGAAAGAAGAGAGAAGAAGGGAGACAAGCACCGGAACCCCAGCCGGAACCAAGAGGAACCAGCAAATCATGATGGAACAGAACCCCTTTCCTGAGGAAAGAAAGAAGAGAGAAGAAGGGAGACAAGCACCGGAAGCCCAGCCGGAATCAGGAGGAGCCAGCAAATCATGAGGGAATAAACCTTTGAATATTTACCGACTGTGCAAAATGTCTACATAGAGTTAATCACCCATAGTCTTTGGATAATGTTCTCACACCTGACGCTACACATGCATACTAATATGTATACATAAATAATTATATATATATATATACGCATGTATAGCTGCATACAACTTGGAAATATTAAATAAATGCGTTCAATGTGTTAGAATAATTCAAACAACATGGCTATATTCTAAAAATACGAAGCTGTGGCAGCATGTGACAGCAGCCAGAGAACACCTGTCCACCCCAAACCCACACCGGAACCAGAACCTCCTAGTAGTTCCAAGAACTGCCCGGAATTTGCTGGGAAACCACATCAGAACCCACGTCAGAACCCGCAATGAACTTTTATTCGATCTCAGACCCCCCGAAACTATTGCTTGCGAAAAAATAGCATTTAACATAACATTATATAAGGTTATCATATCATTCAATTTTTTGAAAACATGAGAAATATGTGTGTATATATATATATAAAAGCCCAAAGGGCATCCGCAAAAGCAAGAGAAAAACAAATTTAACAAGTACGCAACAAATAGAATATATGTATTGCCCAGCCCTTCTTACTCTGGAAATCGGAGACCAGGCGCGCGAGGCACAATCACAGCGCAGGAATTTAGGCAAATCACCCTTCCCAGCTGAAGGACCAAATTGTTTTATGTATGTGCTGGCGCCGTTTATTTTGTATACCATGTTTTTTCTCTTATCGCACTAGTGTCGTTATCTTTCCTCCTACTCCTATTCCTAGTGCTACTGCTGCTGCTGCTATTACTACTACTGCTACTATTACTACTACCACTACCACTACCACTACCACCACTACTACCCTACTACCACTACTACGACGACTACTACTGCTACTGCTGCTTGCTGCTACTGCTGCTTGCTGCTACTGCTGCTTGCTGCTACTGCTACTTGCTGCTACTGCTCTGCCTGGGCGACGCACTAAGTGGATCTTTGCTGAAATTGCTACTGCGATTGCGACTACGACTACTACTACTATATTATATAGAATATATAGAATTTTTCGAATATGTAGAATATATAAAATATATATTATTAACATTATATTTATTGAATTCTTATTTTTCTGCATTTATTATGAAATAAATAAATTAATATTAATTTAATAAATCGATTAAATTATTTTATTTTTTCGGATTATATTAAAATTTATAAATATTTTATAAATTATAATTAAAATAATATTTAATATCTAAATTATAAAATAATATTATATTGATGTTTTATATATATATATTTTTTTGAAATATATACATATATATATTGCTACTAATATTACGATCTAGCCTGACCCAGAGCGCGTGCGCGTAGTTTCTCGAGGCCAATTTTCCCAGAAATCTGCTACTTTTTTAGGAAAATTGGCGAATACAAACTTAGTCTGCGCGAATACAAACTAAGTCTGTGCTTCCTGAGCCCCCTGCGCGGAGGTCGAAATTTTACTACTATTTTGGGAAAATCATTTTTGATTTTCCCAAGAAAGTAATACTTTTTTGGGAAAAATTCTCTTCTCCCCAGTCAGTGTCCCACTAAGCAAATGCAGTACGGTCGGTCGGGGGTTCGATTCCCCCCTGGTCCAGTGTCGCTTGGTATTCAGTTGTGTTTGAGCATGTGTCTTCTGAGTTTCCCCCGTAGGTCTCTCATGGATCAGTTGAGCTTTCGTTTTACGTTTCCGTTCTTTTGCATGTACCGCATGCGTCTATCACTCTTTTGAGTGCACTTTCGGCCCCACTGTCGCTCGGTCAATCTCTCCTGCATCAGTTGCGCTTTCGTTTTACGTTTCCGTTCTTCTGAATGTACCGCATGCGTCTATCACTCTTTTGAGTGCACTTTTGGCCCCATTGTCGCTCGGTCGGTCTTTCAGTTCCATTCCAAAAAGGGTCTTCTGGCAGCTTTGGTTTTGCGTCCACTGTCGCTCGGTAGGTCTCTCATTGGTCTGTTGTTGTTGTTGTTGCTGTTGTTGCTGTTGTTGCTGTTGTTGCTGTTGTTGTTGTTGTTGCTGTTGTTGCTGTTGTTGCTGTTGTTGCTGTTGTTGCTGTTGTTGCTGTTGTTGCTGTTGTTGCTGTTGCTGTTGCTGTTGTTGCTGTTGCTGCTGTTTGGTTGCTGTTTGTTGCTGTTTGTTGCTGTTTGTTGCTGTTTGTTGCTGGTGATGTTGGTGGTGTTGGTGATGTTGGTGATGTTGGTGATGTTGGTG